GTTGTGCTGTCGGACCTCCTTATAAGATACCCCCAATACTAGATAACCCTCTATTTAAGATACATTTCATCATAAGGTACTATTTTCCTGTCCCAAGGGCGGGTGTTGGGACACGCCCAAAACGGTGTGCGGCCATAACGACGCAAAGCCATAACTTGCTTCAAGATTTCTCAATCCTACCAGATTTAGTATCAACCAATCCCTCTCATCTAGGGAGATTGGTACCAAAATTGACAAGAGCCCAAACGTTTTCCAACAAGTTATGGCTTTGCGCTGTTCTGGCCTCGCGCCGTTTTGGGCTGTACCCGTGGGTATCTTATAAAGAAGCCAGACTGCACATACTTATTTTCTCGATTAATTCCCCTACTTCGGTTAATTCCCCATGATAGAGTTGGATTGAAACAATTATTCCACACCCCCAAATACCCATCCTACTGCACGTTCAAATGCCAAAACTCGAATAATTCCCCTCCCTCGAATTATTCCACATCCCTCGAATGATTCCACATCACACATATGGGTTGAAATTTTAATTCCCCAGGGGAATTAATCGAGAAAATACGGTATTTAATTTTACCTACATCCATATAATTTAAGAATTAATTTTTGAAGTTTTTTTTATTTTTTTCTCTCTCATTCTTCGCATTTTTCTGTACTATTTCTTTACTTTTGAGTACCGTCTCTATTAATTAATTAACTAAAAAAACAGGGTAAAAGTGCTCTAATAACTCTCCCATTCTTACCAGGGACCGAACTCGAATGGATTTTTTGACCCTAAAACCGGCCCGATACCACTGTATTTATAAATAATTTTTTTGTCATTTTTAAGATTTTACACAAAAATATTTTTACTAGTTTTTATTTGATTTAAATAAATAAATAAACATTAATTTGTAATTTTATACGGTATTTGGTAGGTAACACCCATATTTTTGGTGAAACAACATTTCATTGTCGATCAGATTTAGATAATTTATATGTCATTCGAAAGAGCTCTTCGAGCTGAGTCGAATGACACCAAAATCAGCGAAATCTGACTTGATTTGACATGGTCATGACCGTTTGTTTTACCCCTTTTGTCTATGAAAATTTTATTTTAATAATGAAATTTATTACATACATATAATCTATGAAAATTTTAACGTCTTCAAATTAATTTCTTTTTTATCAAACGTCCTCATCTTCATCCTCAGGTTTCTTCTTCGGATCAAGAAGATAATATTCCTCGTTTGAATCTATCTGACTTATGGAATTAATTTTAGTTGGCTCTTCTACCACAGTTTGATTTTGCTTTTCCATATGAGTTTCTGTTTCGCCTTTAGCACTTTCTTCCTCCTGATTAAAAAAATCTTTTTCAAATCGAATTTCCTTCTTAGACCGAACGATAGGCAGTTTACCGTTATTTTTAAAATTTTCTTTCTGTGTATTAACAAAAGAAGTTCCTTCATTATTATCAAAATGAATATTCCCTAAATTTGGTTCAACATTTTTTAAGCTTTCCTTTTTATTTTTCATATTTTCTCGATATTCTTTCTTCTTTTCTTTATTATTTTGGTAATAATTTCGATCCCATTCTCGCCTCTTTTCTCTATTATTTTCTCTGTATTTCCGTTTAATTTCTTTCAACTTTTCCTTATTATTTTGGTAATATGTCTTCATATATTCACTTCTATTACACTTTTCTTTATTATCTAAAGTTGTTCTGACTTTTTTTGCAATTTTAGGTTTTGGTTTCAACATTTCTTCAAATTTTTGATGTTGAGGATCGACTGATGATTCAGCCCTATCTTTATCCTTTGAGGTTTCCCCATCTCTAGTTAACTCATTTTTATCTTTATTATTTTTAACCGAATGAATTAAACTCCAAAAAGTCGCGTTGAATGTTAAAATTATTAGAATACTATCAAGTTTCATCATAAATTTATTTAAAAAATTTATTTAAAATATTATTTTATTTACTACAAATTAACCAATAATGATAAATTTTTATTTATTAAATTTAAATAAGCCATATAGTTGAAAAAACAGTCGGTAAATTATTTAACATTTCATAATAAAAATATAAAGTACATGTCTCAACTCAATTAAAAAAGTAAAGTGCATTGAGAAAGATCAACTCTGGTTTAAACCTTTAAAATTCTTAGAATATAACGCAATGCACTTTGTTTTTTTTATTTAGACATGTACTTTATATTTTTTATTATGAAATGTAAAATAATTTACCCGATGTGTTTTTTCAACTACATTGTTATTTAAATTCAATAAATTAAAACTTATCATTTTTGGTTAATTTGTAGTAAATACATAAAATTTTATTTTAAATAAATATTTTAAATTAATTTATGATGAAACTTGATAGTATTCTAATAATTCTAACATTCAACGCGATATTTTGGAGTTTGATTAATTCGGTTAAAAATAATAAAGATAAAAATGAGTTAACTTTAGATGGGGAAACCTCAACTGATAACGATGAGGCTGAATCATCGGTTGATCCTCAAATTCAAAAATTTGAAGAAATGTTGAATCCAAAACCTAAAATTACGAAAAAGGGCACAACTATAGATAATAAAGAAAAGCGTAATAGAAGTGAATATATGAAAATTTACTATCAAAATACTAAAGAAAAATTGAAAGCAAATAAACAAAAATACCGAGAAAATAATAAACATAAGAAGCGAGAATATGACCGAAATTATTTTCAAAATAATAAAGAAAAGTTGAAAGAAATTAAACGGAAATACATAGAAAATAATAGAGAAAAAAAGAAAGAAGCTGATCGAAAATATTACCAAAATAATAAAGAAAAATGGAGAGAATACCGAGAAAAAATGAAAAATAAAAAGGAAAGTTTAAAAAATGTTGATCCAAAAGTAGGAAATATTCATTTTGATAATAATGGAGGAACTTCTTTTGTTAATACACAGAATGCTGATTTCAGAAATAAGGGTAAATTACCAATCGTTTACGAGGAGAGCATTCAATTTGAAGAAGGAAATCTTTTTAACCAAGAGGAGGAAGAATGTAATAAAGGCGAAACAGAAACTTATATGGAAGAGCAAAATCAAACTGTGTTGGAAGAGCCAACTAACATTAATTACATAAATCAGATAGATTCAGATGAGGAAGACGAGGAGGATTATCTTCGTTATCTGAACGACAAGCCTGAGGATGAAGATGAGGACGTTTGATAAAAAGAAATTAGTTTTAAAAAAGAAAATAAATCAGCCCTCCAAACCCCAGATATGATTAATTTATTTTTGCATTGTAATTTGTATTAAAGAGGGATGAGCAAAATTATTTATTTTTTATTGATTTTTTTTTGAATTATGAATGGTTCAAAACTTTCTAAAAATAAACCTAAACGGACGTTAAACGGGGTCTTCAAATAAACGACCCCTATGGGCGTCAAACAACGTAAGCAATAATGAAATCTAAAATAATATAAAAAATATGCAAATAAAAAAATAAAAATAAAAAAGTAAAATAAATATATTTAAATTGAGATATTCCTTTATATAATATAACAATCTTAAAGTTTATATTTGTTCCATTGATTTATTTTCTTTTTTAAACTAATTTCTTTTTAACAAACGTCCTCATCTAGATCCTCAGGCTTGTCGTTCAGATAACGAAAATAATCCTCCTCATCTTCCTCATCTGAATCTATCTGATTTATGGAATTTATGCTAGTTGGCTCTTCCACCACAGTTTGATTTTGCTCGTCCATATAAGTTTCTGTTTCGCCTTTATTACTTTCTTCCTCCTCTTGATTCACATGACTTCCTTTTTCAAATTGAATGCTCTCTTCGTAAACAATAGGCAATTTACCTTTATTTCTGAAATTTTCATTCTGTGTCTTATTTAGATAAGTTCCTTCATTATTATCAGAATGAATATTTCCTACTTTTGGATCAACATTTTTTAAGTTTTCTTTTTTATTTTTCATTTTTTCTCGGTATTTTCGGTTATATTCACGCTTCATTTCTTTATTATTTTGAATGTAAATTTTCATATATTCACTTCTATTACACTTTTCTTTATTATCTATAGTTGTTCTGCCTTTTTTTGCAATTTTAGGTTTTGGTTTCAACGTTTCTTCAAATTTTTGAATTTGAGGATCGACCGATAATTCAGCCCCGTCCTTTGAGATTTCCCCGACTTTATTTAACTCACTTTGATTTTTATTATTTTTAACAGAATTATTTAAACTCCAAAATATAGCGTTGAATGTTAGAATTATTAGAATACTATCAAGTTTCATCATAAATTAATTTAAAATAAAATTTTATTTACTACAAATTAAACAAAAATGATAGATTTTAATTTATTGAATTTAAATAAGCAATTTAGATGAAAGCCATTGGGAAAATTATTTTACATTTCATAATAAAAATATAAAGTACATGTCTAAATAAAAAAACAAAGTGCATTGCGTTATATTCTAAGAATTTTTAAAGGTTTAAACCAGAGTTGATCTTACGCAATGCACTTTACTTTTTAATTGAGACATGTACTTATATTTTTATTAGGAAATGTAAAATAATTTTCCCAATATGTTTTTTAAACTATATTGTTTACCTAGATTTAAAAACTTAAAATTTATCATTTTTGTTTAATTTGTAGTAAATAAAATTTTATTTTAAATTAATTTATGATGAAACTTGATAGTATTCTAATAATTCTAACATTCAACGCTATATTTTGGAGTTTAAATAATTCTGTTAAAAATAATAAAAATCAAAGTGAGTTAAATAAAGTCGGGGAAATCTCAAAGGACAGGGCTGAATTATCGGTCGATCCTCAAATTCAAAAATTTGAAGAAACGTTGAAACCAAAACCTAAAATTGCAAAAAAAGGCAGAACAACTATAGATAATAAAGAAAAGTGTAATAGAAGTGAATATATGAAAATTTACATTCAAAATAATAAAGAAATGAAGCGTGAATATAACCGAAAATACCGAAAAAAAATGAAAAATAAAAAAGAAAACTTAAAAAATGTTGATCCAAGTAGGAAATATTCATTCTGATAATAATGAAGGAACTTATCTAAATAATACACAGAATGAAAATTTCAGAAATAAAGGTAAATTGCCTATTGTTTACGAAGAGAGCATTCAATTTGAAAAAGGAAGTCATGTGAATCAAGAGGAGGAAGAAAGTAATAAAGGCGAATCAGAAACTTATATGGAAGAGCAAAATCAAACTGTGGTGGAAGAGCCAACTAGCATAAATTACATAAATCAGATAGATTCAGATGAGGAAGATGAGGATGATTATCTTCGTTATCTGAACGACAAGCCTGAGGATGAAGATGAGGACGTTTGTTAAAAAGAAATTAGTTTTAAAAAAGAAAATAAATCAATGGAACAAATATAAACTTTAAGATTGTTATATTATATAAAGGAATATCTCAATTTAAATATATTTATTTTACTTTTTTATTTTTATTTTTTTATTTGCATATTTTTTATATTATTTTAGATTTCATTATTGCTTACGTTGTTTGACGCCCATAGGGGTCGTTTATTTGAAGACCCCGTTTAACGTCCGTTTAGGTTTATTTTTAGAAAGTTTTGAACCATTCATAATTCAAAAAAAAATCAATAAAAAATAAATAATTTTGCTCATCCCTCTTTAATACAAATTACAATGCAAAAATAAATTAATCATATCTGGGGTTTGGAGGGCTGATTTATTTTCTTTTTTAAAACTAATTTCTTTTTATCAAACGTCCTCATCTTCATCCTCAGGCTTGTCGTTCAGATAACGAAGATAATCCTCCTCATCTTCCTCATCTGAATCTATCTGATTTATGTAATTTATGCTAGTTGGCTCTTCCACCACAGCTTTATTTTGCTCTTCCATATAAGTTTCTGTTTCGCCTTTATTACATTCTTCCTCCTCTTGGTTAAAAAGATTTCCTTCTTCAAATTGAATGCTCTCCTCGTAAACGATTGGTAATTTACCCTTATTTCTGAAATCAGCATTCTGTGTATTAACAAAAGAAGTTCCTCCATTATTATCAGAATGATGAAGGATATTTTTAATTTTATAGTTAATAGTTCCTGCATTTGGATCAACATTTTTTAAGCTTTCCTTTTTATTTTTCATTTTTTCTCGGTATTCTCTCCATTTTTCTTTATTATTTTGGTAATATTTTCGATCAGCTTCTTTCTTTTTTTCTCTATTATTTTCTATGTATTTCCGTTTAATTTCTTTCAACTTTTCTTTATTATTTTGGAAATAATTTCGGTCATATTCTCGCTTCTTATGTTTATTATTTTCTCGGTATTTTTGTTTATTTGCTTTCAATTTTTCTTTAGTATTTTGATAGTAAATTTTCATATATTCACTTCTATTACGCTTTTCTTTATTATCTATAGTTGTGCCCTTTTTTGTAATTTTATGTTTTGGTTTCAAATTTTCTTCAAATTTTTGAATTTGGCTATTAACCGATGATTCAGCCCCACCTTTATCCATTGAGGTTCCCCCATCTCTAGTTAACTCATTTTTATCTTTATTATTTTTAACCGAATTAATTGAAAGCCAAAATATCGCGTTGAATGTAAGAATTATTAGAATATTATCAAGTTTCATCATAAATGAATTTAAAATATTTATTTAAAATATTATTTTATTTACTACAAATTAACCAAAAATGATAAGTTTTAAGCTATTAAATTTATATAAGCCATATAGTTGAAAAAACACATTGGGTAAATTATTTTACATTTCATAATAAAAATATAAAGTACATGTCTAAATAAAAAACAAAGTGCATTGCGTTATATTCTAAAGAATTTTTAAAGTTTTAAACCAGAGTTGATCTTTCTCAATGCACTTTACTTTTTTAATTGAGTTGAGACATGTACTTTATATTTTTATTATGAAATGTCAAATAATTTTCCCAATGTGTTTTTTCAACTACATTGTTAGTTAAATTCAATAAATTAAAACTTATCATTATTGGTTAATTAGTAGTAAATAAAATTTTATTTTAAATTAATTTATGATGAAAATTTATACTATTCTAATAATTTTAACATTCAACGCGATTTTTTGGGATTTAATTAATTCTGTTAAAGATAATAAAGATAAAAATGAGTTAGCTAGAATTGGGGAAACATCAACTGATAACGATGCGGCTGAATCATCGGTCGATCCTCAAATTCAAAAATTTGAAGAAATGTTGATACCAAAACCTAAAATTACGAAAAAGGGCACAACTATAGATAATAAAGAAAAGCGTAATAGAAGTGAATATATGAAAATTTACTATCAAAATACTAAAGAAAAGTTGAAAGAAGATAAACGAAAATACCGAGAGAATAATAAGGAAAAGAAGCGAGAATATGACCGAAATTATTTCCAAAATAATAAAGAAAAGTTGAAAGAAATTAAACGGAAATACCGCGTCCGGACAAAATATCGAATCGTTAAAATATGGAATAGGCTAAAAAAGGGTTAAAATCTCGAATCGGGTAAAAATGGGTTAAAATCGCGAATAGGCTAAAAAGGGGTTAAAATGTGGAATCGTTAAAATATGGAATGGTTAAAATCTCGAATAGGCTAAAAAGGGGTCAAAATGTGGAAACGTTAAAATATCGAATTGATAAAATGTCGACACGGCCAAAATAGGTCAAAATGTCGAATTTTTTTTTAAATGAACCAAAACCTAGAATCCGGGCGTTACCGTAATACCGACGGTATTTTTCGGTATTCCGTGTCGGTAGTACGGTCGGAATGCCGACCGATAAAATTTAAAGGCTGATCGGTATTTTTCGGTATTCCGTACCATATACGGTAGGGTACAAAATTTAGGTCTTAAATAAAAACTAGTGCACGCCACTCTAATTTTTCCGTATAAGGATCGCGTTATGTTTTCCGGATCCGTACGATCATGCCGGACCGGATCCGGTCGATTATGCTTGATTTATCCGGTCCGGTTTTACTCCGTAAAATACACGGAACTCGGGCAGAAAAGATTACGCCGGACTATGACATACGAGACTTATCAATCAAATTATCAAAAATAAGTTGATAAGTTGATAATCAATGTATGGCACTCATCTGACCCTTTTTAAAAAAATTCGACATTTTGACCTATTTTGGCCGTGTCGACATTTTATCAATTCCATATTTTAACGATTCCATATTTTAACCCTTTTTTACCCGATTCGATATTTTAACGATTCCATATTTTAACGATTCGGTATTTTAACCCCTTTTTAGCCTATTCGCGATTTTAACCATTCCATATTTTAACGATTCCATATTTTGTACCGGAGCCGGAAATACATAGAAAATAATAGAGAAAAAAAGAAAGAAGCTGATCGAATATATTACCAAAATAATAAAGAAAAATGGAGAGAATACCGAAAAAAAATGAAAAATAAAAAAGAAAACTTAAAAAATGTTGATCCAAGTAGGAAATATTCATTCTGATAATAATGAAGGAACTTATCTAAATAATACACAGAATGAAAATTTCAGAAATAAAGGTAAATTGCCTATTGTTTACGAAGAGAGCATTCAATTTGAAAAAGGAAGTCATGTGAATCAAGAGGAGGAAGAAAGTAATAAAGGCGAATCAGAAACTTATATGGAAGAGCAAAATCAAACTGTGGTGGAAGAGCCAACTAACATTAATTACATAAATCAGATAGATTCAGATGAGGAAGATGAGGAGGATTATCTTCGTTATCTGAACGACGAACCTGAGGATCTAGATGAGGACGTTTGTTAAAAAGAAATTAATTTGAAAAAGTTAAAATTTTCAGAGAGTAAAATAAAAAATTTTCAACTTTAGACATCATCGTTGTAAACAGTATAAAATCTAGAAAATTGTCCTTTTTTAAATTGACATCGGTGCTTATAGGGTTTGTATTACTTAATATGCAAAAATTTGAGATTTAAACATTTTACGATTTTATGCAAATAATAGGCCATAATATCCTCCTCAACGCTGCAAGCGAAAATTTTAAGAATTTTGGTTATCAAGTGGCCAAATTTCTTCACTTTTTTCCTAAAATTTATGAAAAATCTCAAAATTTTGGTAAAAATATGCAAAAATATTAAAATAATTTGAAAAAATTGGCAAAAAATTGAAATATAATGAAATTTCTATGTACTTTGCTTAGTACGTCGAATTTCAATTCTCACTATTTCTCACTATTATCAATTATGTAGAAATTGGTTTTTTAGCCAAAACAAGTCGGAACTTAATGAAATTCACGTGCAAAAGCAAGCAGGTTCTTTCAAAATTGTTTTTTGTCCTTTTATATTTTTCTTTGACAAAACTTTAAAGAAATTTCAAAATTTGCCGAATCATTTTTATATTTGCACTTTAACAGCCAATAGCTTGCCACACTAAAAATTACTCAATAATACAATTTTGGCTCATTTGCTTAGGGACTTTCTTTACCTTTAGCTTTGAGACCAATATATTATTTTAAGAGGTAAATATATCTTATTCGCTTTGAATAAAATATACATAAAAATCTATTTATCACTTCACCGAATTTAAAATTTCAACTTTTAGAAATGTCAGTTTTACAAAAATACTTTTATATTTTAAATGCGTCAAAGATTGTAGTTCTAAAACCAGGAACCTACCTAAAGCCCGGAATACCAAGATTTCTTCAAAATGTAGTTCAGAATACACGCTATTAGGATCAGACCAAGTTTCGAATTCAATACTATATCAAAGGGGCGTATTTTCCTCCGCGTCCGTCTTCCACAGTATTCCGACATTTTAGGCTCCATCTTTCGCTATTTTTCAGATTTCTTCCCCTTACGCCTTCCATTTTTTAATATTAAAAATAATCCATCACTGCTCTACATCTAAACATTTTTCTTAGTTTTTTATCCAATTTGAGATGGTCAGATTTGTTATTCTTCTAGTCTTATATTTTTTCTATATTCATTGTGATGGGAAAAATATAGAAGTTGAATTGAAAATCAAAGATGATTGGGAAGATAAAAGAGAATTTATTTATTTAAAGAGTGTTGAACTAAACGAACGTTTTGTGCTAAAAACAATCAAAAGGAGCAATAATCAACATGCTTGCTTTTATGAAAATATAGAGAGATTCTTGCATTTGGTTCAATTTAACCGTCAAAAAAATATTTTTAAAGTTGAAATAAAAGATTGTTCAAGATTTATTCCAACTAGTCAGTTAAATAAGAAAGTTGTGATTGAAATTGCCAATAATGAAATTATTCAAAAAATTTTGCCGAGAATTGAAAAACGAGTAAATTATAAAAACGAGTAAATTATGACTTATCATTAGAGAGTGTACGGAATTTCGGACACAAGAATTTTGGTCACTAATATTTTCGGAACTTTAGTCACCAATTTTTTGGAATTTTGGTCACCAGCGGAATTTTGGTCACCAAGTCAAAAAACGGAAAATTGGGCACTGAAATTTCGGTCGCCAAATGAGAAAACCGAATATTTTCTAAAACTGATATCAAAGTTATAAAAAATTGTTTTTCAACCCCTATTTGATCAATTTTAATGTTTATCACTCTTCCGGAAAATTGATTAACCGTGAGAGTGATCAACATTGAAATTGATCAACTGAGGGTTGAAAAACAATTTTTATCAAATAAAAGTAAAGAAAATGCGGGGAGATAACCGATATGTATCATTTACTTTCATACACTTCCTAAGATTTTTCAATGCTGCTTATATTAATTTAATCATTAATTTAAGTTGCTACTAAATAATAATTTTATTGAGAAAATGAAAAACAATTATTATGAAACTTCGATATTAGAAGAAAGTTTAGAAAATGTAAATAAAAAAGAATTATTAAAGGAAAATATAGAAAATTACAAAGACAAACTTTTATCAAGTTATTGGACGGAAATTAATTTAATTGGGTATAAAATTGAATTGTTAGAAAAACAAAAAGTTGAATATCCGAGAGAATTAAACTGTAGAATTATTTACATTGGCAATAAAATTAGTAAGTTTTGAGTCGCTTAGTCAATCACTCGCACAGGAATGGATGAAAATCTCGTGCGAACGTTTGCCCATAATTTTTCCACGCGCCTTGAACTCTGTATCAGAGAAAGGCTGGCCATTTCAAAAATTCTTGTTAGTATTTGTTTCCCATTTATTACTCTATTATTTAAGCCTTATTTGATCTCATTATCTTCAATTTGATAAAGTTATTTCAAAAATAATGTGTGCAGTTTCTTTTATGTCACCCTGATTGCCAATTTTTGAATGTTTTAAACTTAATATTTATAGGTGAAATTATTGAAGGAGATCAACGGCATTGCTTCAATTGTGGAGTTAAACAAACTAGACAATGGGATATATACATAAAAGAAAATTATTTGTGCCACGATTGTTACAGATATAAAATAAAAAATAATGGAAAGCTGAGACCGAAAAAATTTTGGTTTAAAACTAAAAAGGTTTGTGTTTTTATGCAAATTATTAGAATGACGAGCGTTTTTTGATGAGCAACAAACGGTCAATTAAGCGGGTCCACCACAAGAAGTCAAAACTCAGAAGGTCAAGACCCTGGAGATCAATTACCAAAAAGGTCAAATACAAATTTGACTCATGCTCAAGAATATGTTTGCCTGGTTCATTTTGCATTTCCGACAGTTTAAACTAGAGTATTTCCGTGCTATGTCTCTTAATCCCACTTAATCCCAACAAATCCGTCTTAATCCACCCAAATCCGTCTAAATCCTCTTTAATCCCAGCAAATCCGTCTTAATATGCACAAATCCTTATTTATCCGCCCAAAATTTGTATTTGACCGTTTGGGCCATTTGACCTCCAGGGTCTTGACCTTCTGCGTTTTGACTTTCTGGGTTAAGACCCTGGTCAAGAGCCTGGAGATCAAATGATCCAGAAGGTCAAATACAAATTTGACTCATGCTCAAGAATATGTTTGCCTGGTTCCTTTTGCATTTTCCGACAGTTTAAACTAGAGTATTTCCGTGCTATGTCTCTTAATCCCACTTAATCCCAACAAATCCGTCGATATCCTCCTTAATACCCACAAATCCGCCTTGATATGCACAAATCCTTATTTATCCGCCCAAAATTTGTATTTAACCGTTTAGGTCATTTGATCTACAAGGTCTTAACATTCTGCGTTTTGACCTTCTGGGTTAATCCCGTTTAAACGAAATAATAAACTAACTGAAAATATTATATTTTTATAAATATTTTAGCGAATTACCCAAGATCGAACATGTTTTATTTGCGGAGTTATGAATAAAACAATTTGGTATCGTCATTCGAAACCTGGACACTATATTTGTCGTGTCTGTTACTTAACCAACAAAAAAATAATGAAGATAACGTGAAATTGCAGAAGGAAAGGAAGACTGCCTTATTTTAAAATAATTTATAGATTATGAATATTTATGATAACTTCCAAGGATTTAGAGGGAGTATGAAGGGGCTCCCGGACAATGCGTCAGTGGAAAATGCGTCAGTGGACTTCATCACTTTTAATTGCTTTATATCAATACTGCACTGACGCATTTTCCACTGACGCATTGTCCATTGACGCATTGTCCGGACACATGAAGGATATATTACAATTATGTTAACATTTTTAGTAAACTTTAAATATGATTTATCTGTTTTTCTAACAACGATTATGAAGGAAAAGAAAAGAACAAAATAAGATAGGACAGAATTTAAAGATATAAGGAATGTAAAAAACATTCGTTGTTGAATTTGTTCTACAACTAAAAAACATGCATTAGAAAAATGCAATTTCTTTCAATCTTCAAGTCTTTGAAACATTCTAAATAAGTAAATGATTTTAGAATTGAAAATTTTTTGAATATTATTATTAGTGGATCTGTACATACATATGTATCTATTAGAGTTGTTAATATTGTGGACCTACTAAGTCAAAATATCTAACCCACTATCCACTTTACTTTTTACCAGTCGCAACTAGGATTGTTTCAAAAAATACCAAGTCTAAAAACAAGTGTGTCGTATTGAGATCGGTAAAATCGCATTCCCGAAATTCCGTAACGGGATTTTTTCAACATTTTTAAGGAACGAGATCCCGCGGGATTAATCCCGTAAATCCCAGTAATCCTGTTTTTAGATAAAACCCGGGATTTTTAGACTGGATCCCGTGAAATCCCGTGCAGATCCCGTCCCGTTCCGTCTCTAGTGTCGTATATAATTATATATAAACTTTGAAACCATTCTCTTTTAGTCAAGATCATCAATATGAGGCTTTGTAGCTGGCTGAGTCTATTATTTATTATTTAATTTAGATTTAATTTGATGATAAGTATGCCCCCACCGGACGATGTAAATATAACTTTAATTGGCTTTATAGAATTCATAGAATCGCTCAGCTAAAGCTGAATGTCTGGACGAAGTTACAGCCTGAAGTATTTACATCGAGCCGGCGGTGTTTGGCATACGTCTTTGAAGGATTTAGACGTATTCATTTGTTACGACCCAAAGTGTCCGAGGTTTAACTAATGTCAACTAACACAACAATAACACTTTATCACACTTAGAAATAAACAATGTGTAGGCGAAGGGAATGGGACAGACGAAGGAGATCAGTGACTAGCCCCATCTTTAATTTTTTATGAAATTTTGAAACTATCAAAAACTACCGAAGGGTTGCTAAGCTTAACTAATTCTTGAACAATTAAGGCACGCTCATCGAGATTGTATAATTGCTTATTTTTTACAGCGTTCGTTAACATCTTGTAATAATTATCTTCATCAGGGCTATTGCCAATTATTTTAACTCGAAGATGTTCTGGAAAATTTTCGGGTAATTCATATTTTGCTGCATATTCTTCAAATTCTATGGGTAAATCATCCACTTTTTGTTCAACGTGACCGTGACCACTTGATTCTCCAACATGTTTTGATTTGTTCTTTTTTCCTTTATTTCCGCCACAATCTAATGAATTTAACAAAACATAAAATACGACAACGAATAAAATAAAGGTATAAGATTTCATTTACTTTTGGAATCTAAATTTATATTTTATAAAATATAATTTGACGATGCGACCAGTGATTGGAAGCATGTACCAAAATTCGTTCTTGCATCTGTGTACGATACGAGAAAAAATAATGCTGCACGTTCGTAATTAGAGTTGCCGTTTTCGAATCGGCTGACGGCCAAGTTATTTTTTTCGGCTTCATTTTTATCGAGTCGGGTCGTACGAGTCTTTTTCGAGCCATATGTAAATCATATGAATTAATCAATTATACATTATTACAGTTTTTTGGTTTAAAAAATTTTTTCTTTAAGCGTCCAAGGGATCCCTTTAATTTTTCGCCATGTTTAAAAAAAGACTGCATCGAATCAACACCAAATTTAAATAATAAAATAGCAAAGAAAAAGAAGGCAGCAAGACAAATTTTTTGCGCATTTCTCTAATAAAATTTCAAAAAAATTATTTGTTAAAAATAATACAAAATCTCATTTATGTATATGTACTAGAGACCGGCAAAATCGTGTTTGCGGGAACCCGCATGCGGGATTTTTTTAAAAAATTTTTGCGGGACGGGATCCCGCGGGAAAAACCCCGCAAAATCCCGCATCCCGCAAAATCCCGCAATTTAAATTTGCGGGATCCCGCGCGGGATTGCGGGATTTTCCAAAAATCGTTGAAATTATCAATATCTATTGAAAAAATCAATTTCCTAATCATTAACGAGTTCTTAACGGGTTCTTAACCGTATCATACTTCGTACCAAATTTCGAGTACATGTTGGTACAAACGATAAGCACTTATCCAGGTCCCCAATTATCAAAAAAATCATAAAGGGCAAACTTATACATATTCGTCGGAAAATTCGAGTATACGAATTAGAATAGCTTGAGCTGAAACAAATCTTGATCTAACAATTTGAACAATTTTGTTTCGATGTAATAATGATGATTCCATGGGCGGCAGGTAAAATTTTAGAAGGCCAAGTATCGAACTTCCTTCCTTTTCAGCGCCGCAGGCAAAAATTTCGAGATTTTAGGAAGGCCAGCGAACCAAAATTCACATTTTCTAGCGCCGCAGACGAAAATTTTTTGAGATTATAAAGTTATTAGCCAAAATCCTCCATTTTTCAAAAATCCCGCAAAATTCAAAAAATTTTGCGGGATCCCGCATGCGGGATTTTTTTTTAAAATCTTTGCGGGACGGGATCCCGCGGGAAAAACCCCGCAAAATCCCGCATCCCGCAAAATCCCGCAAATCGAAAAAAGTGCGGGATTGCGGGAGCGGGACCCCGCAAAATCCCGCG